CAGGTTGTGTATTGATACAGTATCTTTCCGCCCATTTGGGAAACGGATATGGGCGTACTTGGGATTACATTCGAGGAATTCAACTTCATCCACTAGGTGCTCGGCTTTTGTTAATCTTGTGGATCGACGCATTAAGACAAGTCCAGGAATACTCAACCAGGTTAGTATAGAGACTTCTGACGCAGCTTTGCGATGATAAGAAAACAATCACTCGTGTGGGCTCGCATTGGTGGCTGTACACAGTAGTGATCGAATAGAGTGGAGAGCTTCCGGAAGAACGGATTCCCACGGCAGACCCTTCGATTGCGCTGCGAGAACGATAGTGTTCCAAAGGATCCCGTTTAGTCTCTCAACTTGTCCGTTTGAGCGAGGGTTGTAGGCTGTTGTTCTGTTGGAGACAATGCCGTTGTTGTGAAGGAAATTCTTAAGCTCCTCGGACATGAAAGACAAACCCCTATCAGAAGGTATGTAGGAAGGCATACCAAAGATCGAGAATAAAATGATGAGACATCGGATGACTGTAGTAGCTGATAGGTCAGAGCAGGCGGGAGCAAACAGGAATCGAGAGCACTCGTCCACGATTGTCAACAAATATCGGTTTCGAAATTCTGACAGAAGCGGACCTTTAAAATCAATGTTCAGCCTCTCAAACGGCGCAGTGGCTTTGGTCGAATTTCCCGTGGGAAATTTACAGAACTGTGGTTTCCACCTAGCACAGATTGAGCAGCCGCTGATGACCGATTTAACTTCATTGATTTTTAGTTCGAACAAAATGAAGCATTCGCGGGGTTCCCGGACGACAGTGAGTGATGTATCTTCTTGAGTGGTTCGAGTGATGTGGACACCGAGCAGAAGCTACGGGACAGTGCCTCAGCCGCCACGTTCTTGTGTCCAGGGCGATAAATAACATCGAAGCTGTAGCATGATAGTTCGATTTTCCATCTCTGAATTTTATCATTTTGAATTTTACCGTGGTGTCTCGAATTGAACACAAAGGCAGCCGATTTTCGATCTGTGATCAGTTTGAAGTGCGTGCCAAGCAAATAGTGTCTCCACTTCCTGATAGATTTGACAATGGCGTTGGCCTCTTTCTCTACAGAGGAATGATACCGTTCAGTTGGAGATAGCGTTCTGGAAAAGAAGGCAACCGGCCTACTGTTCTGCGATAGGGTAGCCGAAGTAGCTACTTCTGAGACATCTGTTTCCACGACTAGTGGTATCTTCGGGTCGATGGTGATGACTGCGTGTTCTAGTTCGCTTTTGAGCGTTTCACACGATATTCTGACGTCCTCTGGTAGAGGAAATGTGTTATTATGTACTAAGGGATGTATCTTGTCCGAGAATCTAGGAATCTAATGGGATTATTATGAAAATAAACCGATTATCCGGCGTTGCGATTTGAGGCCTTTGGGAGCTGGAAGTTCTCGGAGTGGCTTCAATCGTTCAAGGTCCGGTTTCATCAAATCGTGTAACGCTTCGTAATCCAGGAGTTTTACTTCTATGCCACCAATGGTACACTTTTCTTCGTTTAGAGTAAGCCCATATTTTCTAACAGCTTTGAAGAAAATCGTTATATTTTTGTTGTGCTCCTTGTTCAGTCCGCAAACTTTAATATTGTCGACGTAGGCGAAAGTGCCCAATAGGTTTTCCTCCTGAATGAGTTTATTGATTGCCCGCTGGAAGCAAGCGACACCATTAGTTACTCCAAAAGGTATTCGACAGAACTGGCACAGCTTACCGCATACTTCAAAGGCAGTCAATGATCGATCTTTTGCTTCTATAACGATTTGGTGGTATGCACTTCGTAAATCTTAGGCATTGAAGACAGCGTATCGTAATATTTTCGACACCATTTCGTCTATTCGCGGCAGTGGGTAAGCGTCCCACAGCGTGTAGCTATTAATGGTTTGACTATAGTCCACTACCATGCGTCTCTTGTGCCGTTCATTTGTGGTTACAAGGACTTGTGCTCGCCAGGGTGAAGTTGAAGTCTCAATCATGCCATCCTTAAGAAGACGACGAACTTCCGATGGAATAAATCTCTCGTCATCAGGAGTGTGACGGCGTGATTTGGTTGCAATAGGTTTACAATCCGACAGCAAGTTCCCGAAGAGAGATGGTGATTCGATACGTGAAGTAGTTACGCTACGAAGGGAAAGAGAGGGTCTGTCACCCCTGAAGGGGATTTCAACTGCTTTGTGGAGTTGCAGAAAATCATCTCCTAGTAATACGTCCGCACACAAATGTGGAGGGACTGAGAATTTGAAATTATCGTATGAATTCTTCTTGAGGTCTATGATGACTAGTCAGTGACCTTTCGTGTGGTTAACCAATCTCGTGGATGCCATCAAGATTGCGCTAGATGACTGCATGACCTTCAGATGGTATCGTTTCACGAAAGATTCATAAATATAACTTTCAGAGCTTCCCCTGTCTATTAGAGCTTCAACGGGGATCTTATTCACGGTGATTTTTACCAGTGCGACATTGGTGGTGTCTGAAAAGCATTAGACGGTTGTTGTGCCATTTTAAGTGATCGAGCTAGTTCTAAGACGGTCCGTAGTTCTAGACATGTGTTTTCAAGAAGACGCTGTCTCACAACGCTTGACTGCATCCCGCCTATGAAGGCGTCTCGTATGGCGTCATCCTGATTTTTTTCAGCCGTTACGGCCTTGAAGTTACAATCTTTGGCTAAAGATTTGAGCTTCTGAAAGAATTGTTCGAATTTTTGCCCTGGTTCCCGTTTGCAGGTGGCCAGTAGATACCGGGTGAACACCTCATTCGCTGGTTTGATAAACAGCTTTTCCAGGGTTTTCACGGCATTATTTTACGATGTGCAATCCGCAACATAGTCAAAGATACTTGGAGAAATGTAATTGAGTGAATAATTCCGATAGATTCATTAGAAAACAGATGTGGTGAAAAAGCTTGGTTTCAGTGCTTTATCTACTGTCCAATTACAGCACATTATATAACTCGGAAATAACACAGGGAGACAGTCAAATCAGGGTTTTAGTGTGTATAAAATGGACGTTCAGGGGTTGGGAGGGAGATGTATTAACGCTGATTGCATGATTGGTGATAATCCCTTGCAGATTGTGAATATTCGACTAACGTGTTAGGTGAGGGCACTTCGGACATCCGGCCATGGGAGGGAAAGGGACTTAATGAACTGTTTGTGTGCACGTAATGGGGGTTTGTTTATTCTGATTGCTATCGCCTCTGCCGTAGATAATCGAGTTTTCACTTCCTTAGACCGGATCCCCGTCAGTAAATAGATAGGATGGAACGATTCCCGCACATCGATGGTGTGATTTGTCTCGGCCAGATGTATAGCAACCGCACTCGCGCCTGTCTTTATCGGTCCCCGACTGAGTCAAACTGGGTGGTGTTCTCTCATCCGATCGGCCAGGCGTCTGGTGGTGCGACCCACGTAACTGGCGCCACAGGAGCAAGTAAACTGGTAAACACAGAAAGTGGTCATCTCCATCAGTAGCCTATCCTTCATCTGTAATGTGAGAACTGATTTGGAAGAGTAGAATATGCGCAATCCTGTTGAGAAATAACTATTTTCTAATTCATTCCTCAGCCGTTTGCTCATTGTCCTCGCAAGGGTGTCACCTTTAAAGGCAATTAAATGTAAACCTTTTTCTCCACTGTTGGGTGCTTCGATTTGGCAATGTAAGCTCTCATACAACGATCGACAAGTTCCTCTGGGTATCTATNTCTTCTTACACGATTGGCGATGCACTGGATTAGGCTGCGCTTACGCTGCACCGGGACAAACCTATGAAAATTGATATATTGTCCTGTCCACGTATTCTTTCTGTATATACTTCGTTTAATAGAGCCATCTTCGCGGCGTGACAAGTAAATATCAAGAAACGCCATTCCCCGAGCAGATTCCATCTTTAACGTGAAGTTTACATTAAGGTGAGCCCTATTGAAACTGTCCAAAAACGTTGAAGGATTCCGTGATTTGTCAATAATACATATAATATCATCAACATAACGCCTGCATAGGACACACTGCACGATATAGGTGGACAATGTAATGGAGATGTAATTGTAGAGAAAATCCAATTTTTCGGGATCCTCAATCCCAATTTTAGTAAGAAATCTGTCGAAGGTACAAAACCAGTGCTGCCATATTTTCGAGGACTTAGGAGTGCTCGGGTCATTATGCAATCTTTCGGATCGGAGGTAGCGTTCCATTTTCAGATAATTTATATGTTGAATGAATTGATGTGAGAGACGATCGTAACAGCCGTTGAACAGGAAGAAGACAAAGGCCCGATATCTAGACTTCATTCAACATACAAATGGGCGATAGGGGCTGAAAAGGAATGAGGGTAAAATGTAGAGGAACGAATACGAAGTAATGTGAAGCAGCAAACGAAGAGGAGCCGTTAACCGGTAATAACCCTCGTTAGGTGGACGAAGGCGCGGGGTACCTGAGGCTTCCTCTCGACGGCGGGAGAAATCTTCGCACTTCATTGGACAGCTATTTTCCGCCCGAGCTAGGCAGCCCCAAGCCAATAAGGCGTTGTCTCGTCCATGTTCCGCCTGTCTCATTAGGTGCATGAGAACCGATTCCAGACAGCGAACCGATAATCAACGCACCAGTAGGAAGTAAACTGAAGCGAAACGTAAGGGCTTTGCATGACAAGTCTCGAGGAGCTCTCACACAGGTGCTGCGGTCGCGCTCTCGCGTTGGACCTACGCCCCGCTGCATTGTGGGTCAAACATTTGTGTCGAAGGCTCCGTCTAGGGTTCCCAAAGAAAACTTTCTTCGTCGGTGTGGGCGACCGTGAAGTATGTTTTGCACTAAAGTCTCGGATGTCCATTAGAAAAATCCTCTTCCTCAACTGTCTAGTTCTTCCTTCCACCCCCAAATTGTACGAGATGCCTCCTGTTTACGCCACCGGTGGGATAATACTCAGCGTTTAACCAATAAGGCCAACCAACCAAAAGCTATGACGTTGATAAAACTGCAGTCTCCGTTTCATTCGGCTGCACTCGATGTTCGTACATTCTTTCAGATCGGCGAACAAACAGCCTTAGCTAGGACCCTTGGGATTTTCGATTTAGACGTATACTATGTTTTCGAAACACGCGCCGCACTTCAATCATCTTGCGCTTTTCAGATCCGACCTCATCCTCACGCTTCACTCTCCGTGTGTCCGGTGATTCGGCATCGGAAGATCGTGTGTCGGGATTGCGCTAAATGCCAAGACAAAACGCTCGCTACTTGGTTGGATTCCTGTCAGTCGAAGCTGAGTTTGAGCTCACAGCATTTTTTAGCCCAAGTTCACCACGGAAAGTGTTGTTCGTCAGGGTTACCCTCTGTCCTTTCTGTTTAACTTTGTCATAGGTTTAATTCTTAAAACTGCCCTATCCCCGTACGAGGATAGCGGCATCAATTTGCTCCTAGGTGGTAAACCGTCCGATCTGAAGTATGCAGACAAAACTGTGCTGTTCATTAAAGATTCTGGCAAGTTGCCAGCTTTTCTGGTTAGCTTTAGTGCTAGTGTAACCATGTTCGGTATGAGTTATGCACTTTCAAAGTGTATAATGTTGCTACAGGACTGGGTTGGTTCAGTTCACGTTAATTAGAGGTAATGGAGGTACTGAGCAAATTTTGCTGAGCAGTTGCATCACCCGAAGTGGTGTGTTGGTACGCATGCAGGGTCGATTGGCGCTTACCAACTTCAGGCATTTGATACTACGTCGCGACATCCGGCTATCTGTGAAGGGTCGAGTGTATGCTGCAGCAGTTCTGCCAGTTCTATGATGTACAGAAACCTGGCAATTACGGGAACAGTATGAAGATCGATTATCGGTGTTCGAACACCGCTGTCTACGCAGCATTGCATGAATCTGGTGGGGCAGCCGGACGAGAGATTCTGAGGTTAGGCGCAGAGTTTTAGGTAATCGCGGTCATCCACTGGAGCAAGTGGTTGACCTTCCTAGACTGTGTTGGCTGAGGCATGTCTGCTCATGCCACCAAATAGATTGTCACGATGCACGCTGTTTGCCTAGGCAGGGGTTGGGTGGAAAAAAGTAGCAGTTGGTCAAACTCAGACCTGTTACGAGGGTACGAGGCTTACTCACATAAGTCGCGTTGGGCTTCTTGGATGGGGCCATTGATGATAAGAGTGATATGGCTGAGTGTCGTAAACAGTTGTGTTCGTGCATCTTATCAATCTCTTTGGAGCATTTGTCCTCACGAATTCTTAATTATCAATCGGAAGGCGATTTGAACATTCCAATCTTCCCTTTACTCCGTCTGAATGCAAAGTCATGAAACAGCGACCAAAACCGGTACATGAAAGTGTGCGGTTAATGATTTTAAAAGCTGAACTGAACTGATTCTCCACTCCAAGATTCCAGCACGGAATCTCATGACATAGTGATTATGGGGTACATTTACGCTTTTGTCAAACTCATGACAATTTTGTGTTCACGTCTAAACCATTAAGTAGTTGCAATCCAACTCTGCCGCGACCACTCGGGATTCACTGACTGCGATTATCCGACATGCATTTTATGACTATCTTGCTAGAGTTATTTGTAGTGACTGTTCATTAATGCATTTTATAATCGGGAAGTATGAGAAGTGAAACAGTTATACCCTAAAAGGTATGGTAATAACCAGAATTAAAACAGACCAAATACCCTGTAATTTCCATACGCGCCTAATGCAAGGAATAAGCGGACTCTCGTTAGTATATTTCCACAATAAACCTGAATGTACGCTTCTGCAGGCATCAATAGGTTGGAGGTGGAGCTGTCACCTTTTGAGCGCAGCTTCATTGAATAAACGGCCGTGGACGGTCGACAACGTTGTTTGTGGACGGGATGAGTTTCCACGCAGTAGTCGATTTCTCCTGAACGCAGAAGCGCCACAAAACTGTCACCATCATTGGGATATCTATCAGATAGCATTGGGATGGACCTACATGCGACTTAGCGCGTCTCCTAGGTCGCGAATACGGGAATGTTCACCAATTTGCTGGTTAGGTTTGTCTAAGGCGGGCTCAGATACTTAATGAGCCATTTTGAATGGCCAGTTACAGTACCCGTAGATGTAGTGAGTTTTCAATCGGTCAGTGCCCCTCTCTCTCAAACCCGAAATAGTCCTCCGATAGTACTGTGATATGAGCAATGCCCTCCCCCCTTGTCCCATCTACTCAGCAAGCCTTTCCAGAGTAGGTGAATGAGCTACCATTAGAACAAACTCGCTGCCTTAAAGGTTGCATAATAATGTACACAAGTTAGAGATGTAATCTTCAACGATGTTAAAACATAAATGGTATTTGTTTTCCTAAGAACCCGCGTTGTGTATTATGGTCCGTGGAATCAACTTATTGTTCACCATTCAATAGTCGTGCAAAAGTGAATGTAAGTAAAGTACCACTTATTTGGCTATTGTTGCTCGCGACAAGATTAAGACGCCTAATAATTTTCATTTCACATGACTTGGTAATCAAGACTCGTTCGTTCCGGTGGAACAGCAAAGACTACCCATAAGTAGAAAATATTTGTAACTTCAACTCATAAAAAGTTGAGGTGATTGGTAAAAGTGAGGAACAGGAATTTTAAGCTTGTGAATTCGGGTAAATTCGGTAATTTAGTTTTGGCTATTCATATACCACAGGCTTATAGAATTGATGAAGTTCCTCAGCACATTTTTCAGAAAATCGCACGAGAGTGCAGTTCGGTCGGCTATGGACAAAGCTTACTTTAATCGTGTCTGTTAGTCTACCAGCGTATTTTATTTCCCTTCCATTTGTGACACTAATGATAAACTTATGATGTAAAGTGAAATAAACTAACTCATTTTTACATGAAAATTTTCGGGTTTTGCATATCTTTCAGTCCTGATCGCTGCTCCCAACAAGGAGTCCGTACCGTTCAAAGATGAGCACGGTTCGTTGGAGTCATTATCCCTCAGTGATCAGTTCTCTCTGCCAGCTTATGCGAACGCCAGTGCTGTGGTAGCTGCTGCCAAGGCTGCCAAGCGTCAAAATCAATCGGGTACGGGTCGAAGCAAATCGGACGTCCGCGACAGTCGTTCAAAAGATTCACGTAACCTCAGAAATCGTGATAACGAAACTGGTCGTCGATCAAAGAGTTCCGCACGTGCAAACACCAAGATGTGTTTGCACAACGAGTGCAACGTCCTCGATTCCCTGTCGAACCCCACAGTTCCCAGTCTAGGTGAACCTAAACCCAGTTGGCGCTTCGGTTCACTTTGGCTTCGACGCAGTCTGACCATTCTTTGGCGTCGTCGGCAATCAAGCTCCATTCAAGCAACATTCCCATCTGTCTCAGCTGAACATGAATCATTGGAAAAGTTTTGCTCGTAAGTTCCGCGTTATGCATTGTACCCATTCACCTTAATATCACATATTCGACAGTTTGAAATAATGATTTTACACTAGATTTAGCGCATCCTGTTCATTGTACGTACTCCAGGTGATTTAGGTGTTTGATCAATGGGGTTTTCATCATTCCACGTTTTATGAAAATTTTCATGTTGATTAAGTTGTATTTTATGTACTCACAGGGTGGCGTCTTGTTGCATGTACTTGTTCTTTTTCTTAGAGCTTTACTGACTAGCACGTAGCCATCTTCTATAAAATGTTAAGTTCCATGCTTTAAGCCTGCCAGATATCAGGAAAGCGGGGGGGACGGGGGACGGATATCATCGATACGATATTACATAGTTAGTACTTACGTGCTTATACTTTTCTCCCAAAAATGAACATTGTTATTTCTCCTGATCGTTCATCAGTTAATCCAAGTGCCCTCAATTTTTCACTCTTTGTTTTATTTACACTATTACTTATTCAAGGTGGTATGTTTTTGTCAATGTCTTGACTCAGTTTACCCTGACTCTTCTGGTTCAATCGTTTGATTAATGTCCTATTTACGCATATATATACTCCCAGAGAGGATTGTCACCTTCGAATACATCCTCGAGCTCCGGGAACGACTACTGAACTACCCGTGGAAATTGTACGTGAGGGTATTGTGAATGAATGGTTTGGATCTTTTGGTGCCACACATCGACCGGCACTATGTAAAAATAATCCGGACACACCGGATCCGGACGGAGATATACGGGATCCACGATGGGTTCCTTCGCGACTTTGTTTGTATAATACCAGTGCTGGCCTTCTCCTCGAAGCTTTCGCCCCACCATCGGTACGTTTTTCCAGATGTGTTCTTTCTCCGAAAATATGACTATCAACACGCGACTAAAAGAACCATTTGAACGCCACATAAGTGTTACCTTGTTTATCTTCTGTTTCGTAATACTAGAAATAACTTTTACTTTCTAAGTTTATTCTGATCTGACTGCAAATTTTGGTTTTATACATCAAATTTGCTGCTTCTACGACGTAACAGTATCACTAAATGCTAATGATGCTTCAAGTGAGTGATTCTCTTTCCAAGAACTGGGAAGAACTCATGTTTCGAGTT